TTTATTTATATGAATATTAGAACTCTATTTTAATCTTAAATAGACAATAAACAGATGATTTTGACTTTTTCGGACATTTATCTGCCCGATTTCTAACAATCAGTCCGATATTTGAATTCCCTATGTTGGAATTGCATCAGAAATTGAACTGATCAAAATAATTACATTTTATTCCTCCTGCCAGTTGATCTTTGCAAGCTTCATATAATTCTCATGACTAAAACTCAAATACGAGATAATGTGCATCACGCGTCGCATAGCAATAAACAAACGAATTAGCGGCAGAATACTATTTTTATGTTATATATTAATTTTATTACAGTTAATGTGTCAATAAAATAATACAGTTTTATAATAAATATATAACAGCTGTTATTTTAATTTTTTATTCTAATGTTATATAACTGTTATAATATGTGTTTGCTAGTATATTATATAGCAACAGTAAACAGATGGTATATAACAATTATATAATAAAGATATAACAGCTATTATTTTAATTTTTTACTCCAATGTTATATAACTGTTATAATATATGTTTGCTGGGAAGGGATTTATCTGACACTATCCGGAAGATCAATGAGGACATTGATGCTATTCTTGGCTGGTCTACTGCTAACAAGCTTATCTTAAACTTAGATAAGACTCAGGCTATAATTATGGGAACCGAGATTTGTCAATGCCATTGATCTGACTATCTTTCCTGAAATAAAAGTGGATAGGTCCACAATTCAGTATTCTACATCTATTGAGTATCTTGGTGTTACGATCATGAATACTCTATCTTGGGAGAAGCAGGTTACTAATATGGCAAACAAGATTCATTCAGCTCTATATCAGTTAAAACTTTGTAGGCATCTATTTCCTGAAACTCTTAAATCTAAGCTCGTCATTTCACTGATCTATCTATATGTCGATTATTGCTGTGCAGCTTATACTGACATGACTGCCGAACATAATCTGAGACTTCATAGAGCAGTGAATTCTTGTATCAGATTTATTTTTAACGTGAAGACTGATGCGCACATTACACCTTACTACGAAAGGCTACGTTGGCTTAAAGTCGATTCTCGGAGAGCCTATTTTGTTGGATGCTTATTGTATAAAATATTACAAACTATACAACCAAGTCTTCTGCACTCCAATTTTAACTGCAGGAGTACAACAACAGACCGTGCTACTAGAGCTGCGAAGGATATTTTAATTCAGCCACAATGTAGGACTGAATTGTATAAACGCTCTTTTAGGCTTTCATCGGCTAGATTATGGAATGATCTTCCTCCATCTATCCGGAATGCGACGACACTAAATGATTTTAAACAAAGGCTTTATACGCATTTGCTCGTTTGTGCATCTTCATGACTCTGGATGTTCTTAATACTCTGGCATCTCTTTCTGGCATACCTTAAAGATTAAAGATTAAATATTTAAAATCTAGCTATATACATTCATACTTATACATTCATATTTATATTGTTCTTTCTGCACATGTATATGCACATAGCGCACACTTTTACATTTACACATCTACACATGTATATGCACATAGCGCACACTTTCACACTTTCACATTTACACATTTACATATATATACATACTGTTTGGGAGTCGATCTCGACGAGATCGCCCGAATCTTAAGAAACGCTCAGAGATGAGCGAGAGTAACGGTGTAACGCGAATCCGTAGATCCGCTGGAGGATAAGGAGATTGAGAAAAGAATCGAGTGCAGATTGTTAGTAATGTTCCCTTTATTTTGAATAATAGGAGCGAGCGACGGCACGTATTCCGCGATTCCGACGGAAATCTTCAAAATGTCCTGTTAATGACTGCCCTTTTTTCGCGGTTCGGAAATCTTGATTAAGAGCTTCTTGCTAGAAACTCTCGCGAAAACGGAAATCTTGACCGCGAACGCTGGATGGAATTTAGCGCGAGGCAGAGGACATTCGCGATGCGGTTAACGAGCGTCGACTCTCGGACTCCACAGAATTAACGTTCACAATGTCTTAGCACTAACTGAATTGAAGAATA